TAGATACAACCAATCGAAAGAGCGCTGAAAGATGCTTCTTCTGATATATGGGTCATCATAGGCGAAATCGAGCCAGAAAGAAGTTGTGGCTCTACGAAAGTTGTAGGTTTTCGTGAGAAAACAAGCGGCAACAGAGAAGCCATGACTTCTGAGGAAGATATGCCTCCCCTGTTGGGAGAAGATTCACTCCTAGATGATGATGCTCTAGTTAGTATAGTTACTGAGGTACTGGACCTCTCTCAATTACCAACTGGCAGTGCCAGACCTGTCGGAGATGGCTCTGAAGATGGCAATGAAGCTGAGCCAGAACAGTCGCAAGAACAACCGAATGACTCCCAGGTCTCAACACAAACCAAAGCCACTTCCAGGAAGAGGAGAGAGAGGTTTGCATACAAGGGGAAGAGCTTCAAAGCCAGCAGTGACCTGTTCTTGAATGCAATCCATAAAGAAGCCTTCGAAGCCAAGTATCCAGATGATGTAGAGATCGTGGGAACAGTCATTCAATGCCCATACAATTCGAATGGCATGAACTATGGCTTCAAGTGGACTACCCATGGCACTGATGTGGATAGTACATGGACCTTGCCTCAGCTGAAAAGCAACCCAGAGCTGAAAGGGAGACTGAAGTCGCTCATTGTGGCATATGAACAAGAGCAAAAGCTGCTGAGTAGCACTCAAGAAAGTTCTCCCACAGACCAATCCACAGAAGAACCATCGCATTCAACCTCGACCGGAAGCAAAGTAGGTAGGAAGAAAAAGAAGAATGGAGGCACCAATGAAACACCATCAGCAGAACCAACTGATGAAGAACGTGCAAGGGCTTACGCAGCACTGAAGACAGCATGCAGTGGTGGCGGGACCACCCAGACGCAAAGTGGTAAAGAGAGGAGAAGATCAAGGAGGCGAGATGACAATGATGATGATGAGTCGGATACAGATGATGGAGCCGAGTTGAATGAATATGACGATTCCTTCGCTGTTGCAGCCAACGAAAATGTGGACAGTGACGATTCTGGCGATGAATACGAGAACCAAGCAACAGACGCAACAAGCATCCAAAAAGAAGACTCATTTGGGAAGTTCGTGCAAAGGCTGCTTTGGAAATTCGAAGACGTGGAACCAGGTGACATCCCGTATGAGGAAAGCAAGCCTTTATTGCAGGGCAAAGATGCCGAAACTACACTCAGAAAGGGTGTAGCTGATCGCTGGAGTTCACCATTCGAATGCTTCCAGCAGCTTGGATGCAGTCGGGAATTTGTTGCCCTACTCGCACAACATTCAAATGACTATGCAAAGAAGAGTATCTTCGCGGACAGTGGACCAAACAGGAGGCTTCATGGGGCTGTATGGAAAGACATAACAACGCAAGAGATGCATGTTTTCCTTGGGATAATGCTGAAAATCTCTCTTATGCCCATTGATATGGGTGGTTACCCAGCGTACTTTCGAGAGAAGGATAAATTGGTCAACTACAGCAACAGAGAGAAGCCCATGCGTATCAAGAACACAAAAGGATGGGCCCAGGACTATATGTCTCTTATCAGATTCAAGCAGATACGTAGTGCTTTTCATCCAGAGTGCAAGTCAATGGCCGGAGAAGGAGGCGACAAGTGTTACCAGCTCAGACGGTGCATCAACGCTGTGAACCTTTCCTCTAAGTCGACTTTCGATGCAGGATGTTGGTGTTCATTTGACGAAGGAGGAGTGGCCTGTCGCTCTCGATTTTGTCCATGCCGACAGTACAACAAAGACAAACCTGACAAGTTTCGAGTGGATTTCTTTATCCTGGCTTGTTCAAGGACTTATGCCGTCCTGCACATTGACGTCTACCAAGGAAGGAATGCAGCAAACATCAACATCGATCCTTCCATCCATGACCTTCCTACAACACAGAAAGCAACCATGAATGCGGTCATGGCAGCTTTCGGTACTGAAACACGGGGAGCAAGACACCTGGCACTGGACAATCGATACCAGTGTCCCGAATTAGCTGTTCTTTTACTGACGAAGTGCAATATCTACTCGACCGGTACCTGTCGTAGAAGAAGAGTAGGATGGGACAAAGTCATCATGGATCTAGAGAAGAGCGATGGTCGGGGAACTTACAAGATCTCTGCGGACAAACAGAACCGATTACTGGAGATGCAGTGGGTTGATAATAAAGTAGTGTCGATGGTCACAAGCAGAAACGATACCACCATCGGCAAAGTCAAGCGCCAAATAGGATCCATCAAGAAAACACTGGATTGCCCAAAAGCGATCATGGGCTACCAAGCGACCATGTTTGGCATCGATAAGGGCGATCAAATAAGAGATCACTTTGGTGGATTTTCCACAAAAGCTCATTTCAAGAAGTGGTATAAAAAGATCTTCCTCGCACTCTTGGACTGCATGCTATTGAATGCACTTGTGGCTTGGAACTTGTCAGTGGACGAAGACCGATTGAAGATACGGAACAGATTGCTGCGACACGAGTTCATGATGACAGTGGCAGAGTCTTTGTTGGAGTATGACGAACCAGATGACATTCCCGAAAAGGAATCCGGGGTGTCCAAAAAGGATCCGATGGCGGACCACCGCCCATTGGAGGTTCCCAAGGGAACGGGAAGGCCAAAGTGTATTGTTTGTAGATTGGAGTGCGGCAATTTCTTTGGCAACTTGATTAGCGAGGCTGGCATAAAGCGCAATGTCAGTGTCTGCTCTATCTGTAAGGTGCCGGCTCACAACTGTGTACCTGCCGATTCTCCAAGAAAAATCCACCGTTTGCCCCAGTTCAAGGGTAAGACTTGCTTCGAGATCGCGCACACTCCTGATGGTCTCAGCATGTGGCCTATCAGAAATGATCTTGACCACAAACAAGGACCAAGATCCCACTCCCGAACATGCAGGGTTTGGCAACTTGTTCGAGAGATGCATGGGCTACCCATGAAGGAACAGCGCAAACGCAAGAGAACTGAAGCTACAAAGACAGCCGAAGAAGGATCTGTTCCAAGAGCTGCAGCCAACAACAATAAAAGTGACAGCGAGGATGAGGATCTCTACTCCTAGCATGTACAGTTAGAATAAATGAAGTCGGCAAACTGCCATTCACTTAGTAAATGATCACGTCTACTATTGAATTATCCTACTTAGTATGTATGATCACTTCTCGCTCACATTCGTTGTTGACAAAAAAATAGCGATGTAATCGCTAGAGTGGCTTGCTTGCTCTACTTGCTCGAGTGGCAGCAACACAGCTTCAATCCTCCTTGTACCAGACATATTCCGCATCCTTTGCCGGATTCCTTGGGTAAGTATCTTTGATCTCACCTTCCACACAAACCGGAAGCTTACGGCGTTTTCCAGCTCCAAGGTGCCCAAAGATCATTCGAACAGCTTCCTTGTACAATGCCTTCCTAATGGTCTTGTTGTCGAATCCATCATCCTTCATCATGTCTCCCGTCATCATCAGGCTGCCTCCAACCATGTCTTGGATCATGTAGCAAGGGTACTGCTCGCAGTAGCGGCATGCAACAATGGGTGGCTGTTCTTCTTTCTTTTCATATTTCAAAGTCACCGGGCGGTGGGGGGAGTTGGTACGCCGTCCAATACCAGTAATGTAACCAGGCTCTCCACTGTAAACTGGGGAACAGTCATTGCCTTCACGGAATTGGGGAGAGCCACGAGGATATTGTGGGAATCCAGAAGGGACCAAGTCAGTTACTTTTACGACTTTGAAGCCATGATCAGAAGGCGTCAAAGGCTTGGGCATCTTACCGGCAGCTGGTTTCTTGGCTGGTTTCTTGGCCGGTGGTTTCTCCTCGAACTCATATTCCTCGTCCTCGTCGCTCTCTTTCTTTGCCATGGCTGCGTGCTTCTGCGAGAGTGGAATGTCTTCCTTTTCTTCTTTTCCGTGTTTCTCGATCATCTTCAGATCATGCTGCCACTCCTCAAAGGCATGGGCTGCTCCCCAATCAAAGGTTTCAGGCTTGAGACGAGATGACATAATTGCAGATAATGGATCATAGTAGACATGGCAGCATTGCTGGTCTTGTAGACATTCGAGAGAGCCATGCTTCTGATCGGTTGCTCATTGGTGGCAACAACGGCAAATGAATGAGGTGCGGGAGCTACTTTGGCGGCCATTGTTAGAGTTTACTTGTGGGCCATGTAAGCGGCTATGGTCTGTGCTTATCAATAGGCATAGACCAAGTGGCCCGACTATAAATTTAAGCAAGGGTCAAAACTGCGCTCCCCTTACCCTTAACAGGGGCCGCCCTTGAATGGCGTTAATTGTTGTCGTCGAGTCGAGTCAAGTCATTGAAATGCAAGCAAAAGACAATGGAAGGAGGCTACCATGGTACCGTACACGACAGCACACAAGAGATTGGATGCTTCAATTGGATCATTCATGCCCCCTTGTTATTCCTAATGTTTGCTTGGTGATTCCTGTGTTGGTACTCATTTGCTTGTGTTATTGGTAGGTACGACTGTACGGTATCAGCACTGGTTGTACCGGTACCACCTTCTGTATCTGGCTAGCTTGCCAGTAGAGATGACCGGCGTTAATGGTCTCCCTCTGATCGTCAAGTTTTTGTCGGATGCAAAATAAATGTTACTGTTCATTCTATCTTAGCCAGCTACCGGTAGCGTAGCGTATCATCTTTTAAAATGTTGCAAGAACGCTGTGAGAATCTCTAATAATTCTGCACAGAGCCCAGCTTATGCATTATCTGCGCTTGCGGTTGTCATTCGAACCTCTGCACAAAATTGGCGTGCAGTGGCATTGCTCACTTTTCGCTGAAATCGGATGACCATTAATTTTCTCTGTATCACTTTTTCTTGTTTTGGTAACTTGCTCGATCTTCTCTTGCACTCTTTATTTCATCTGCTGTTGCACAGAAAGAGCGAAAGAAGAAAGATGAATCTATTGCTCCGTCCACTAACGGTCCTCTCTTGTCTCGGCTTGTTGGTTCGGGCCCGAATCAATGGTCCTCGGTCTCTCCAGTTGTTGTCCGCCGAAACTCAGGCAGCTGTGGACTTGATATTGAATCCGCCCGTTGCCGATGTCGTGGTGGACGATGGAACGCCATTAGAGCTTTGTCAGGGTCACTGTGACGAAGATGAGGATTGCCTTGGGGATCTGATTTGGTAGGTCGAGTCCATCATGTTGTCCACTCTTTGGTTTCTTGTACATCATTCACCCAATGCTGTTCTTTGCCTCGAATGAAATGCAACGCAACCCAACGAAACTCAATTGCAGTATGCAACGCAACGAGGGTGATCCAATTCCTGGCTGTTCCATTGATGCATCTAGCATTCCTGATGAAGGTAGTGGTTACGAGAGTGTTGGGAGCGTTAGCATCAGCATTGCTCGCAACTCAAAAGCCGCCGTACGTTCCACGGATGTAAGTGGCAACTTTTGCGGGTATCCCTTTGCAAGCGTTGTGGGAGACGGTCTGATCCCCGATGAAGGAGATGTCGTGGGAGATGCCTTGCTGGAACTGTGTGAAGGATCCTGTACCAGTGACGGCATGTGCGCGGAGGGGTTGATCTGTTATGCACGTGGCATCACGGACCCTGTTCCCGGCTGCAATGTGCAAGGTGAAGCTGGTGTAGAGGGGCACTTTTGCGTCCTAGAAATCTACCAGGGCGCCGAGAGTTCATTGAATGCTCCTACTCCAGCACCCACGAATGCTCCAACGCAATCACCCACGAGCGGTCCAACTCAAACACCCACGGCACCAATCCCAGAAATGGAAACGACTACTGCGTCCAATTCCACAGTGGACATGTCAACTTCCAATTCGACCATTGACGACGACGATTCCACTGAACCCCCTGAAACGACAGCATCGCCAACATCTGAGCCCACAGAAATGCCCGTGGAAACACCCCAGCCAACAACTTCTCCCGTAGACACACCCGTCCCAACCATCCCTCCAACTCTTACATCAACAAGCGCGCCAGCAGCAGCCACTCCCGTTCCCACCGTGGCCCCCACTCCAGATCCTACAGCAGCACCCGTGACACCGGCACCAACCACACCAGTGGGACCGACCCTACGTCCGACGGTTGGTCCGGGTCCTGCGACGGCTGCCATTGGCACATACGACAACCTGGATTGGTGGGAACTACCCCTCAATGTCCGTCAAGCGGCGGAAGTGATTGGATACGACGAGGAATCTTGGAAATTCGTCAACGACGAAACAGTCGTGCTGGACATTGATTCGCAGGCGTGGATTCAACTCACGGTGGAAGAACAAGCCGCACTCACCGTGTTTGGCTACGACGAAGCTTCGTGGGATGGCGAGGATGCCTGGAGTCAACTTTCGGATGTGGAGCGAGCGGCTGCCCAAGCCCTTGGATACGATCAGAATTCGTGGGACTATGAAATCCCCGTGGCAGTCGATAATCTGTGTTGGGTGGAACTCACATCGGAACAGCAGGAAGCGGCAGGAGTGCTGGGATATGACATGGTATTGTGGGATCAAGGTGAATGCTAGCTGCAGGATGATAACAATTTTGTATCGAGTGGAAGAACACACTGGCGTATTAAGCTAACTGTAAAGTACTGTAAGACAGATACGGAGAGCGGATCATGCTGGGACATTGAAAGATTCAAAATAGCAGGCAGTACCAGGAGACGAATGGTTGAACGTCAATCGCATCCTTATGAACAAATACCCCCTCGACTACCTTTAGACTCCTGAAGGAATCAATACCTGAGTGACAGGTGGAAAACACACATCCAAAATCCTGATCGTCCGGGTAGCCAACGCCCGGGGCGTTTGAACAGTTGCGCTGACACGACTACTTCTACCGTACCTGTGAACATGGACTGATTTCCTGGCTATTCCACTACTGCCTGTATTAGATGACGACGTAGCTTAGGCTATACCGGCACACTGTGTAGTGCTGTTCTAGCTCACAAAGACACCTGGGCGTTGCTCCGTCGAACGGCAACGCATCATCTTGGCTGGGAAGCAATAAATCGGGTTTTTCGCATATTGTAGCCATCAATCAATGAAGCCAATAGTTGGTTAATGTCTTTTAGTTAGTTGTTCAGTTCATGCCTTTCTCCAAACTTTCCCCATACACTCATTCATTCATCTATAGCAATGACGAAACGAATGCTCCCAGAATCATGATTGTGGAAGGCATTACGAATGGACTGGCAAGGAAAGAGGAAGATGCATCACTCCCTGTTTGTGGTGAAGGTGGCGCCAATGGTTCTTCGGTGGTGACCGTCAAGGAAAATTTTCCCGTATGATTGACATGACCGCCATGGACCAGCAAGTAGTAGCGTGTCCCGGTTTTGGCATGCCAACTAAGAGTGCTGTGTTGTCCACTCCCAGTGCTGCATTCGGTGTCATTGTCGACTCCGTGGACGCATTGAAGACCGGTACAGAATCCTTCATAGACCGTCAATGCTGTATCAAAGTCGGTGTCATCGTGACACGTCGAGACCGTCACAATCGTGCTGCTGTCTTCCGGAATGCTGCTGTTCTTGTAGACTAAGAAATATAATTACATCAAGGGCATGGCATCAGACAGACACGACACGACAAAGCGCCAATACAGCAGCATCCAAGCACCATCAAGTGAACTTACGATACCAAATTCCACGCTTACTGGCCGCCGTAGCGCCACACAGATTTTGGTTCTCTTCTTTCGTGGCACTCACCGTGGATCCTTCTAACCCTACTTCGTCGTTGTTCCCAAGGAGGACTGTCAGATCAATCGCTCCATCGCACACATCATTGGCAGGAGGCGGATCCTGAGCCATCAACGGAACTACGACGCAGAGGAGAATCCACAGCAAGGACGAACGGGGCATCATCATCATGGTCAAGGTTGATCTTTATTAGGAAAAAGAAGGTGGAGAAACGGTGTGACTACTGTACTGCGCTGTAGAAATCCGACGATCGCGACTGGGTTCCACGACAGTCAGTCGTGGATTCAATTGACAGCAATTCGTGGATCCTTTCCCGTCCTCACAATTCCATTTTACGATTTCTCACTATTTCAATTTTCCCGATTCCTCCAAAACTTACAATTTTTCCCATTTCTCAACTACAATTTTCACGATTCGATTCCAAATATGGGATACCACAGCATGTAGTATCTTTGCTGCTGAAGCTACTGCTATTCCAACCGCCCAGCTTTTGGCTCACAAGTGGTCCATGCCCCCACTCCGTGGTTTAGTTTTCTGCTCGGTAGTGCCCTCGCTCATGCTACGATATGCTTACGCGGCTTTGGTGTTCCAGCTCTCAAGCTCTCCAAGCAAAGGGACGATCGAGGATCGAGGTGTTCTTGATCTCTTCCACTAGTCACACTCCTTTGATCCTCCCTGCCATCCTCCCTTGCAAGCCTCTCTTTCTTTCTTTTTTAATGGTGCTCTGCTGCTTTGCTGCTTGTCCGGCTCGCATTCTTGCCTCCAGCCCGTCTCCTCTGCAACCCCTCCTCACCATTGTCCCCTTTAACCCGAAGTAACTTCCCCGTATTGTACGCACAGCACCGTTTGGTGTTTCCCATATACAAGGCTGTCGGACCGCAATCCACCCCAAGTGACGGAATCATGCTGTCCTCGACGGTGCCTCAGGCCACAGGTACCAGTACGTGAGTGCAAAAGAAACGCAATAATGACTGTTTTGTTTGCTTTGACTCAAGCTGCTAATATGTACTATGTAGATTTATCTAAGGTTGATACATGTAAGGGATGTGTGTTCTCTGTCTGTCGGAAACTGAGTAGGAGTTGAGATGAGGTTGAGTTTGAGAAACACACCGGGAGGTGTCTGTACATTGCGAGCTTGCACAGTATGGCAGAGTGGAAGGTTGCTTTGACCACCTCAAGACGTTGATTCGATTCGACGCGGCGGTCTGGATGAAGGGAGGGGGAGTTGCCTTTTAGCACTCTAACTCATTCCTGAATAAGTCTTGTTGGGCGGTTGTACAGGCACTCTCCGGCGGTGGGTGGTCAGCACGAAAGTTGGCCAAGTATCGCTCAACAATTTGCTCGCCCTCAAGTTCCCACTTTTTTCTGTTGGCTTTGGCGTAGTTCAAATACTCATCCGAAGATACACCAAAGACACCGCAAGTCTCGAGCTTCTTAGCAAGAGGGATCACGTAAAAGTCATAGAAGCCCATTTCGCCCTTGTACCATCCTTGGCTCGGATCGCTGTCTTGGCGGCCGTCCAAGTATCCCATGTAGCACTCTCGGAAGAATTTCTGCAGCAAAGAGAATATTACGTGAGCACAGAAGACGCGAAGTGGGGAGGGAAGCAATCGCAGCAGAGTCGTACCTCGTTCCATTTGATGTAAACTTCCCAGTGTTGCATCATGTGCGAGACGTCCGCTGCTTGAATCAAATGCTCAATCTGCGTGGTTACAGGGGGAAAGCGAGGAAACGAGTTTAGTTTCAAACAGGACTGTTGGGAACTGACACAAACGTGTAACCAAGCAAGGCACTCACCACAATGGTCGCCTTTCGATCGGTCATTTCCTTCTCGGTCTCGTCTTCGCCATCCTCGCTGCTGAAAGCTTTGTTCCAGCGCCCCTTGCGGAAGGCACTCTGCTCCTTGTCCACGATATCCGTCGCCATGACTGAGTTGACCACTAGCTGTCGGAAGCGCTCCAGCTCGGCCTGATTCGTGTAGATGCACTTGCGAAGGTCTTTGTACTCGTCCTGCATTAGCATGTTCCAGGAGAGATCGACGGAGTTTTGCTCTTTTGGTTGGACGACAAAGCAATGGATAAGTAAGTATGGAGCTCAGCATTTGCCTGAATCAATTTCTAGCCCGGTGCGGTGCGTACCTGCTACACTCTTTTGGTTGTAGAACTCCGCCAACTCGCTTCCTTCCTTCACCAACACAGCATTGCTCACTCCGGGATGGTCCGCGTCATGCACCAACGCACTGTACACGCACGCAAAGTGGATCATGGGGTCACTGGTCAGGCCGAACGTGTTGTCGTGCAAGTCGGAAGCTTCGCCCTTTTGGACATAGGCCATCGTGGTGGTGTCAATAGTGTGAGTCGATACTACACGTGATAGCAGCTTGGTAATGGCTTGAGCCACGTGACAGGCATGTTCAAAGTTCTGTGTTGGAAAAAGGGAGGGTGAGGGAACGTCTGTTCGCAGAACATTTGGCTACAATTAATAGCAACAGATCCTTTCCCAACTTACGTGAAAGTCGTTTTCGTGATAGAGATCGCCAATGGCAGACACGTATTTCTGAAGCTGCTTGAGAACGGCAGGAGGTAATTCCACAGTGGAAGGATCGCACTTGAAATCATTCTTGTCGCTGGAAAGCGTAATAATCTCGGCGAGTTCATCTAGTGGGTTCAAACTTGGGACAACGCTGCTGCTTTTTTCCACTCGTTTGTTTTGATCTCTCATGGCGACAATCATCTTGAGTGATCGAGTGAGACTGTCGACAATCCAGTCCACGAGCCTCTTCTTCTTGTTGTTGTTCATACTCCTCTCAATCACATCCAGCTCGTGGTCTGCATCCGATGTGACAGAAGCTTGGTCACTGCTATCCACAGCTGTGTCGTTGGTGAATGTCTTTCCAGCTTGACGAATCTTGAGCCAATAGGTCTTGGAGGTGATATTGTCTTGGAAGACGACCGTCTTTTCGGTTGGCACCAACCATTTGGTGCGCCCCTTGGCCTTGAGAATATCCGCCGTGGCTTGACTAATGTGGATTCTGCCGGCTTGTGATTGGTTACGGACCGCAAAGGTATTGTCGTAGGTTTCTCCAAACAACTGGAAGCGGCTTTTGGATCCGCGCAAGACACCTCCTGTAATGGGGCCACTGGAGATTCCCACCCTGAGCTTGAGGTCACCCGTATCTGGTCCCAAGTACACCTCGAGCTTGTGCACGATGTTGGTAGTTTCTCGTCGGCACTCGTTGGCAAAGCGACAGATTGTAACGGCATGGTTTTCCATGGGCTCGGGGTATCCGGCTGCAGCCACGTAGCAATCACCAAATGTCTGTATTATTAAAGATGAAACGAAGGAATCAATATAGGTATGGTGAGCCGCGTTTATCAATGCTTCCCAAGCCACCAGCCAGTGCCTACTCATTACTCACTTCAACCTTGAAAATCTTTCTCCTCTTTCCAATGCGATCAAATTCCCCATAGAGTGTCTCGAGCAGGACAAACACTTGAGCGGGTTCTCGTTCACTGGACCACGCCGTGAATCCGACCAGATCGGCCACCATCAAGGATCCTTCGGGATAGTAATCGGCAATGGGTGTGGTGTTGTAAAAGAGTACACCATTATTGGAGGAACTCATAGTACTGGCCGTCAGGCTGTTGCTGTGGTTTCCTACCATGGGCAAACCAAACATTTTACTTTCATGTCCAGCATTGTCTCGTTCGTCGGCCAACAATCGTTCGCGAACGTCCTTGGGGTACATGGAATTGACGAGTGCACCGGTCCGGTTGGCCGATGCGACAACGACGTTTTGTCGTTTCTTGACGAGACAATCGTAGAGAAAGAAGAAGAGTGCCGTAATGACAAAGATCATAATGGCCCCGACGGTAAAGACGGCGGGTCGGTTGGTGCGGTATTGATCTTCAAATTCTTGAGAGGGATAGAGGTTCATGACATAGCGACACTGTGCGGGCGTTCGCAGATCGGTGGCATTGACCGAGATCTCGAGATAATCGTAGTGAGGATCGTGCAAATCGCCAGGACCGACAAATGTGACGTTGGGACCGTCAATGCGAAAGGTAAAGGTAGAGCCGCACTTGTTTTCGAGGTAGAGATAGATCCCGGCAGTTCCTTCATCCGAGAGAATATCGGAGAAAAAATTCCAGGTAATGGCCGCGGTGAGAAAGGAGACAATGGTGACATTCTCTCCTTCATGAAAGCTGTCGTATACGGGCATGGCGAGGTAACTGTCGGGCATGACATCTCCGGAGAACTCTTGTCCATAGACGGAACTTCCAAAGGCTTCCGAGAGGACACCCTCCCCGGTGCGCATCATTTCCTTGGCAATGGGAGGAATGATGGGATCCGCCCAGGCATTGTTCTGGGTGTATCCTCCCGGCAGTCCATTGTCGAGAGGTACAGAGACTCCATGGACGGGAGCATAGAAGGGGAGTTCCGGGTCAAATGTAAAGTCTGCCGTTCCATTGTCGCACTTGGTGGACCAGTCGGTGTAGTTGTAACGAAAGATACACTCGGCGACAGGACCGGGAGGAGGTCCGATGCGTCCAATCTGTTCCCAGGTTTCGTTCCTCCATCCTTGATTGTCAATGACGTACTGTTCGTAGGTTTCTCGATTGTCTTCGGTGACAATGGGAGTCAGAATGATCCACGAGGCTCCCATTTGCGCCATGGTGTTGTGGCCTTCCCAGTAGAAACTGGGCATGATCGTCACAAAGGGCCATTCCCCCGAAGCGGCACCCAGCGAGTAGGCCGTCACGGACAGAGCCAGAGCCTTCAAAGCTTGAAACTCCGCATTGGCGTTGATCTGAGACACTTGAATGATCTCATTGGCAAAGCCTTCAAACTGGACAAAACAAACAAAGAGAAGAGTGAAGAGTGTGAGTTTGGCCCCAAGTACCTGGTACAGACAAGGACAGACATGTCAAGCACTGAACATGAGCACTTACACTGGATTCAAAGTCTTCCTGTTCCGTATTGGACGTAAAGGCCCACGTAGCGTAGCCGACGCCAAAGGCCGCACAGAGCAAGACGACAATCATGATGAGCTTGGAGACCAGGACTTGCTTGTTCTCGGATGCACTGATATCGTTCACATTGAACGAATCGTCGCCGCCGCTGCTGCCCGTGTTGCTCGACATGGATGTGCGGCTGGCTTCCACGTCATCTTCGTCCAGGAAACCAGATTCCTTCGAGACAATGTCGTCCTTCTTCTTCATGGTTGGATGGAGTGTAGTAGTAAGTGTGTGCAAGTAAAAGTAGAGTGTGAGCAAAGAGTCTTTTACAAAAACAGTCCAGTCTTTTTCCAACAATCGCTTGGGGGGGTTTGTGAGCAAAGAGGGAGGAAGCAGTTTAGAAAAAAATCTTTGTGGTTGGAGCGATGAACTTTTTCGGGATCGTTCCTTTCGCTACCAAATCGAGCTTACCAAACCACCCAAACAACTCAGCCTTTTTGATGACCCAATGCGAAGGCTGCTGGTACTGGACCTACGTAGCATGTCACAAACGGAGTAGAATTCTACAGCAATAAGGTAGGTGACAGTAAAACTTCAGCCAAGGACTTATTAAGCTTCTCAATTCCCTCGAACATTGCCAAAACAACTCAGGAGTTCGGTGAGCAAGAAAACTATACAGTCGTACTACATGTAGTAGTTACTGAGTACTGATCTGCTGGTGTGTGCTGGGTCTACCGTACCGTACGTGTCTACGTGTCTACGTACCATTCTACTTTGATGGTTGAACTTGCCAAAACAAGTGACCAATTCCAAAATTGGTGACAGGATGACCCAGTTCGACTCGAACATGACTGACACTTAAATCAATAGCCCTCGTGGAGTTCTTTCATGTTCGGAGCCTCTTCTCAAAGAAAGCAAGAGCAAAAATATGAGACTTAAAGGTCCAACATGATTGGGTGGAATGTAGTCATCCTTAAACCGCAACTATTAAAAGCTAGACCGCGAAGCTCCACAATCAGCTGCTTTCGCAGCTTGCCAGTTATGACTGTGCGGATACGACAAAAATTTACTAACGTCAGTCATTCCAATTCGGGTTCATCGTTCCATGAAAAGCTCATGAAAGTACGGCAACTCATTGAAAGTTGAAGTCGAGTGACAATGAAGAAGTCTGTTTGATAAATCAGTAGAATTCTTTTCGGTCTTCACTGTCCGGATACCGCTCGCAATCAAAGAACTCGAGATCGTGCTGTTGTATGTCGTGCTCAGAAAGAAGAGAGGAAGAGTGTCCATGAAGTCATTGCTAAAAGCTTCCCCACTGGTTTGCGGGTCAAGCTAATCAAAAATAATGGTGATACTTTAAATCGATACTAAAGTCTTTAGCTGGTTCGCTTACGTCAATCATAGGGGCTTCATGCCGGTAGCTTCATAGGTCATACCGGTACCGACCAGTGTTCTTGACAACTGTCGCGGCAACTGCAGAAAGCAGAAGATTGCAGAAACGTCCAACGTCCAAGTCATCCTTTGAGTCATGATATCTTTTAATCAGTTCAAGCTTCTTTTTCAAGATTCATTTCATTCGGCAAAACCAAAAGGAGGTTGTTTTGAGGGGCATCGGGCACCACCATCCCCAATGTCCGGGAAACACCACCAGTGGTTGGGAGTTGGGAGGATTTGGTCCTCTGGTTGGTCATTGATGGTGTGCTTCGCCAAACTCTTTCCCTCTCCGAACACCTGATTTGGTGATTCTGTAACCCCACAGCCACCACTTGTGGTCTCAGTAGTTGGTCAATGGTTTCGTAGATTCCACATTTTTACCCCCAAATTTGCGCTCCCCAGTTTCCCCCTACTGGTTGGGCAAATGTGTATATCGTTGCTTACCTACTGCCAACGGAGCTATTGTACTCTTGCAGCAAAATGCAAGGAACTCCAGCTACGTTAGCTACTTGATCACCTCTCGAGCTTGAACGATTGAATAATTGATTTTCTCTCATTTCACTTTTTCCAGTGACGCGCCACCCATGCTTCACCGCGATTCCCCCCGCATGCTAGAAGAACGCTACATGTTGCGGCCAAGTGGCTGGGCGCTTCGACGACTAGGGTTTACTTCTCAGCTTCGTCGAACAACTTTCGGAGATGTGGAGCGCATTGATCGCTAATAAGGCAAAGCGTGGTCATTTTTTGCTCCTTATTTTAGTTTGCTTCTTGGTAAGGTTGACTGCTTTCACCAAAATATCCCAATAAGTAGTTGACGGACGAAGTATGCGTGGCCACGAAACAACCGAGTGGGGATGCGGATTGCAGTAAAGCCAAATGATTGAGAGTTCCTAGTTGGCTGGTCACAGAGCGCCCTGCCGGTTCTTCTTTCTGGAGACCCAGGGGCAGATGGTGATGAGATGAGAAAGAACCGTCTTTAAAGTCTCTTGAACATTCTTAAATCTCAAAAGACGGATCTTATGAACACTGGAGCAGAAAATGAATCCCAGTGTTTTAAAGTCTAGTATCTTCAAGAATCCTTAGCATTCCTGTCATTGCTGCAAGGAACCTAAGTTCGTCCCGTGGAATTATGATTATAAAGGTTATTGAATTAGGGGCTGTTCAGATTGGACTGTTAAAACTCACGGACTCCTTTGTTATTGACTTTGATCGAATGAATCGAATCAGTGGTACCTGTAGAGGCTCTAGCTACGGTAGGCTCTACGTACCGTACGATGTACTAGCACTGGTACTCTAGGCACAGGTACCGGTACGAATACAGTATTCATTGATGGCGAACGATAGCCCACTCGTCTGTGAGCCATCAGGGAGGCTAGCAACTCAGGGTTGTTGCTCCATGTACTGCCCTGCACGTCCAACAGTTCTTTCTCCCTCTCTTTCCAATTCGCCCGCCTCCCCGTTCCACATCCAGGTTTGTGTTCTGTCCTATTCAGAGGAAAACTTGTGAAGATCAGTCGGGATCTGCAAAAAATGCATGGATACATTGGCACCGCACTTCTTCGGGGCATCGGAAGTCACTTTGTGGGCAACTGGATCGTATTGACGTTTTGGGGCAGTATTTGTCATCCTCTTGCTCGTTGGCAGCCTTTTTGATGCAATGGGAGAATAGAAAGCAAAGAGCTCGCTGCCCGGTTCGGCTGGTGGTTCACCTCTATCTACTCTCCTAAAGAGCAGCCAGGATGACTACTATCTAGTCTGTTGGAACCTCAGGCTGAAGTGACGATGGAGGGCAGAGGGCCCTTCGGCTCGACTCTGGCAGCCAGTGTTGTTCTTGGGTTGGGGGAAGAATGGTTGAATCGATAACCGAACTACTTCAAGGTCGTCAACTACGTTAGCCGGACTACGATTTCACCCCTACGACCTTCAAAGCTCTCGATGCTTCGCTCGATGAAGCCCGCTACGGAGAGTGCCACCAAGGAATGCTCCAGAACTCTCCTAAACAAGTTACCAATCATCGCGTATGTCCATCTACCAGCCTCTCTCTGGCTGTTGCAGCTACCATTCATGTATTCCAATCTTCAATATCTTCCAGGTTGGACAACTTGTACTTGCTAGCTCGATCTTCAGCTCTCTTAAGCTCCACAGGAAGCAATGCCCGTCTTGACGAGTTCAAAGCTTTCCATGCAAGTCTTTGTATTGGGGTGATCTGCTCCCAATACCGGCTCCCAGATAGCAAGGCACTCTTCAAATTTCAACAACGCTCCAGAATGGTCACCCATGCTATACAAAACACAGCCAATGTTGTGATAGGACTGGGCAGTATCAGGATGATTCTTTCCCATCACGGACAGTCGACTGCCAAGAGCCTCCATGTGGTTTGTCAAAGCACCTTCATAGTCACCCATTTTCTGCAGAACACAGCCAATGTTGTTGTAGGTGGCTGCCAAATCAGGATGATTCTTGCCCAATGCCGACAATTGAATGGCAAGAGCTTCCTCATACTTTGCCAAAGCACCTTCATAGTCACCCGATTCATTCAGCACCAGTGCAATGTTGTTGTAGGTGGTTGCCACAGATGGATGATTCTTTGCCCAATGCTGACAATCGAATGGCAAGAGCTTCCTTGTACTTTGCCAAAGCGCCTTCATAGTCACCGATCTTGCCCAGGACGATCCCAATGTTGTTGTAGATGGTTGCCACTGATGGATGATTCTTGCCATGTACTGACAATCAATGGCAAGATTCTTGTGCTTTGACAAAGCACCTTCATAGTCACCCATCTTCATCATTACTAGACCAATATTGTTGTAGTGGTTGCACTAGGATGATTCTTGCCATGTACTGACAAGTCAATGACAAGGGCTTCCTTGTACTTGGACAAAGCACCATCGTAGTCACCCTTTTCTTTCAGAGCAGAACCAATGTTGTGATAGGTGATTGCCACATGAGGATGATTTTTGCCCAATAATGATGAAAAAATGGCAAAGGCTTTCTTGAAATTTTCCAAAGAACCATCGATGTCACCCATGGCCAGTAGCACTCCACCAATACTGTTGTAGGTAGTTGCCACATCAGGATGATTCCAACCCAATAATGACAATTTAATGGCAAGGGCTTCCTTGTACTTGGACAAAGCACCTTCATAGTCACCCATCTCTTGCAGAACAGCCCCAATATTGTCATGGAATGTTGCCACCACAGGATGGTGCTTGCCCCCTGCTGCCACTTGTATTGCAAGAGCTTCCGTACATTTTGACAGGGCTCCACCATAGTTGCCCAACTTCATCATTACAAGTCCAATGTTGTTGTAGCTGCTTGCCACGGCAGGGTGATTCTTCCTCAGTACTGACAATCTAATCGAAAGTGCTCGTATGTACTGCGACAAAGCACCTTCATAGTCACCCATCTCATACAAAACATAACCAATATTGTTGTGGGTGCTTGCCACAAAGAGATGATTTTTTTGCAACACTGACTGTTCAATCAAAAGAGCATCCCCATAATTCAATAAAGCCCCTTCATAGTCACCCTTGGATGTCAGTATAGCACCAATGTTGTTGTAAGTGGCTGCTGTCAGTCTATGATTCTGGCCCAACACAGTCGCACAAATTGTCAGTGCTGCCTGATGGAGTTTCATGGCTGCATCGTCTTGACCATTTTTCCATAGTATGACCCCTATACGGTTGCAAAAGACTACATAGGCCTTGTCATTTGTTTCTTTGTGCGCTTCAACCAACTGAGTCAAGACACCATGCATCCATCCACGCAACAGATTGTTCACTTGATTATTCAGAATTGAATAACCAATGCCTGACTCCAGTTTCGTCAGGATAGCCAGTCTGTCACTTTCGACAGATGCCTTGGCATGTTCCACTTTGGTTCTGCTCAAAGTCTCATACAGAGCCTCAATGCCTCTTCCCTTAGTGATTACATCCTTCTCCAAAGATTTCTTCTCTTTGGGTGGCATGACAATATCTACCTTGCATCCCTCTGTGGTATGAGCTGTAAAGATCTCAAAAATACACCAGACTCGAGTGATGTAGATGGGTGCTTTCCATGGAGCCATCATTGCCAGCACATGACCAATCCTTTTGACACGCTCTCCAAAGATGGCAAAGAAGTCAACCTGGGAAGAAGAACCGACCAATCCGGAATTTCCAGTGGCAGTGCTTTCCACTACCCTGTGCTGATTGACACAAAGGCAGCATATCCAGATATATGTCCTCTTGGGGTCAAGCTGATTTTGTTGGCAATAGTCAGTGAGGGTGTCCACAATGTCTCCAATCGAATAATTCCAAGAATAGCTGAGCATATGAGTTGCCTCCCCCACATGGTCCTCTCCTTCTAGACAATGGACATAGGCCGCACCTATATGTCCATCAATTGGGCACTCAGTCATGGCTCCCTTCTTTCGGATGACACCAGGAGGACCTTGCAGATCCTCAATTTCATAAATCTTGGACATTCTGGAAAGGTGGGAACAGCAGCAGATTGACTTTCTAGGGTGCTTTGGTACCTCTTCCTTCAAAAAGACATTCTCCAAATGATGAACACTGACACCCAGAATATCCAGCTTCTGGGTGGTTTTGTTGTTGTTGGACCTGTTCTTGATGCGATTGTGGTTAATTGGACGCCTATGTTCTTTGTTAGACTGACAAGTAGGTGACGGTACCACTTCCGTCTCCGCGTCTTGCAGTTTTGAGTACCTGGCTTCAGGCCGCATCAATGACGTCTGATTGCGGCTCATGTCTCACGGAAATTATCTCTTGCCTTCGATCAACTCTTTTTTCTCCTTTCCTCTTATTAGTTGCGGTTCTTTGCAATGATGTTTGAAACAGCACGTCGCTGGCTCCCGTAGATAATCTACCAACCTGCCTAAACCCCCCTTATCATCGTCTTTTGCTGCCGGTTCGGATCGTCCATCGTCTTCGCAACCGATTGCGAGCTGAGCTCGCAATGACACAAGGAAAAAGAGGCTGGCAGCACCCGATCGAGTGACTCGACTCAGTCAAGTCAGAGTTGAGTCCAGTCATAGAAACGGCTTGATCGATGATGAATCGAATGGAATGGAATCGAGTCGTAGATTTCGAATATGCATCACCACAGTAACCTACTAGCTAGTCTAGCTTAGCTATCTAGCTGAGTCCAAATCCTCTCCTGCCTGCCTTATTCCACCCCACGTAGCCCTACTTTGCCCAAAAGCCCAGCCTCCTCTCTATCCTTAACCATGCACTTAGTCCTATATTTCTTCATTATGTATTTTGCATGTAGCAGCATTCTGTATTCCAACTACAACATTCTACCATGCTGCAGTTGGCATCAATCACCAATGAGCCCTCCCACATGCGGTTGCAGAGTTCTGCGGGAATGCGTCCAGTGATTGCTGTCTCTGCAATCCCCAGGTGGGTCAGTTGTGTCAGCGCTCCCAGCTCTGTTGGGAGTGTCCCGTTCATTGCCGCACTACCCGACACTTCCACATGCCGCAATGTTTCGGATAGCAGCCCGAGTTCACTGGGAAGATTTCCTGGAATGAGGGTGTCACCACGACCCAAATAGGCAAGCTTGGTACACAAGCCCAGTTCTGTAGGCATTTCACCCCGAAAGAGGTTGTCTGTGGAATTGAGAACTTCCAACGAATGCTGTAGAATCTGCAACAAGAGTCCCTCTCGATTGGGGACTCCACTTGTGATGCGGTTGCCATTGGTCATGACAACTTTAAACTTAAAATCAAAGAGCCCATCGCCTGCAGTGAGAGGGCCAGCAAAGTTGTTGTTGGACATGATGATGACTTCCAGGTGGGGGTTGGAGATCAAGGGTGGAACTGTGCCGACAATATGGTTGTTGCCAACATCAAAGACTTGAATTTCCGAGAGAAGTGTGGTAGGAAACAGTGGCCAGGTTCCAGTCAGGTTGTTATTGGCAAGGCTCAAGGACACCAAAGTCCCATTTGAGTTGCAAGTGTTTGGGACGTAGTAGATGGAATCAGATGAAAGACTGCTGAAACTGAACCATTGACACTCGGACACATTGTAACTCATCCAGCCATCCTTTTGGAGCCAGGAATCCCCATTAGTGGCATAGTAGAGAATGGCCATGTAGAACCTCTGTTTCTGGCGCTCTTCAGAGTAATTATGGAGGTTTGGGTCTTGTAGCATCCAGAGATTGGCCAGGTAGAAAGGACTACTGGGATCTTCAATCTCCTTTTGAATGGCAACAGGCAAACTATCTTGAAAGGGGGGATACAGAGTAGGAACGGGCTGCTCTGTAAATACATGTACCTGTACCGAGTGGTCCTCTGCCGCTGACGACGAATTGTGGCTCGTGCTGACATTGTTTCCCTTGACATTCTCACTGTTGTGACTGCCGCTCGTGCGAGTAGAGCTATCGCTCCGTAACAGGAAGACCGGGATGAGCACGACAGCCACTACCGCAAGCATCCCAAGTACTACCAGAATACCAACACATTTCTTGGAATCTCTCTGCTGGTTGGCGTTGTGCCTCTTCTTTCTATCTGGCAATATCTGGGCGTCATAGACTTCCATCTCGTTGTCGGTTGCACCAGGTGCTGGACATGATCCGGTCTCCAAATCTTGTTCTTCCTCTGTTACCACTTCGGCTCCCAATATGACATCATTATTCTCTTGGTCGCTTTGATTATCTTCTGATTGCAGAGGGGCCGGGCCGGACGTGGGCAATCCTCTGAGAGGTGCCGGGTGTTGGATGCAATAGGCTCCAGGCCCGTCGGGTTCACGTCGTCTTGTCCGTCGTGGCAATGGCTGCACTGCGGAAGCAATATCATCTAGAAGCGACGAATCAAGCGTTTGCTTCGCTTTGTCAATCGTGACGTCGTTGCCATCACGGTCTTTTCTTTTCGCTTCTTCTGCTTGGTCCTCCTCAGCGTCGACTTCGCAGTCTTCCTTGATGTTATGGCCATCCTTGATGCAAGCGCTATTCTTCTTGGAGCTTTTCCCGATGCTGCCATCTCCCTGCCCATCGTCGTCATCTGTTTGCTGCTGTTCCATTGTCTACCTAATAAGTTACCGACAAGCTTGAATTCATCAGATTGTTCAATTCAACCTTTCGAAGACTCTCTTGATTGTTGTTTTTCGAGCCACAACGTCGCGTTGATACAGTTGCTATTGAGCAGCTTTTTGAGCTGTGTCAAGACAGGCACATACACCATCGTGTGTTGCGACTGACGTGCACTTGTAGCACAGTACAACCGTACAACCACTGTTCTTCACCGGATTCGGAGAAGAATACTACGACTGTAGTAGAAGAATACTGTACAGTGTAGAGCTCGTGTCGTGTAGAAGCCCCGGGCAAAGAATGTCAGTTTGAAAGGTCACTCAATTTTGATACCGTAGCTACTCATTGAAGTTGCTTGGAGTTTGGACACTCGGAGTTCGAATTGAGATCTTGGCGAATGAGCCCCGTATTCTTCAGAGATCCCAAGCAAATTTCCCATTCTGGACAACTTTGGGGTTCAGGTCGTTGCGGTAAATGTTAAAACGTTTTTACACAAAAATGGAGAGTCAAACGTAGCTTTAACCCTACCGGTATATTACCACAACTACCTTCTAAACCTGTCTTCCAGGCTGCCTCTGGCCTCTTTTCTGCTGGAGTATTCGAGTACCTGACAGCCTGACAGCTGACAGCTGACAGCTGACAGCCACTGCCAGGTACATGTACTACCTTTGCACGGGTGTGTCTGTCCAGGACCAGGACGAGGTTGGATTGGGGAGCTATTGGGGATGGTGTGAGAGGCTACACGGTTGTGCACTGCCAGTACATGGAGCTACACGATCTTTGCTTCTCATTTTCAATAGTTGCGAGAATGCAGCCACGAGCAACAGACTTCTCCATCAGCGTGTTATTGGCCGTGGTCACTTTTGAAGCTAACTTACTTGGTGCGGTCTATGACGATCTGTTCGCATCATGGCGCTCGATCGATTGTCGATCATTATGTTGCGCGTTGGCTCTCTTTGCAGGTCTGCAAGGCAAGGCACGGCAAGGCAAAGCGCTTGTGGCTCCCACCGGAACTGACTGACTCCACTCTAAAACTCTCTTTTACATGCATTCCTTTTCTGTATGAAACCACACTTGTTTGCTTGTGTAAAAGTCCGTGATCTCAAAATTTGGCTCGCAAAGAAGAACTTCAGCCAGTTCTTGAGTCATTGGGAGGAGCGATCTCTGAAAAATCAGATC